GTGTGTGTGTGTGTGTGTGTGTGTGTGTGTGTGTGTGTGTGTGTGTGTGTGTGTGTGTGTGTGAGAGTGAGAGAGAGTGAGTGTGTGTGTGTGTGTGTGTGTGTGTGTGTGTGTGTGTGTGTGTGTGTGTATGCCTTTGTTTGAGAAAGAGAGAGAGTGTGTGTGTGTGTGTGTGTGTGTGTGTGTGTGTGTGTGTGTGTGTGTGTGTGTGTGTGTGTGTGTGTGTGTGTGTGTGTGTGTGTGTGTGTGTGTGTGTGTGTGTGTGTGTGGTTGTGTGTGACCACAAATCAGACGTACTTTACATATCTATCTGCCCTAATTTCAGTGGTTCATTCTTTCAATCCTGCTTTTGTATATGTTTTTTTTTTTCATCTCACACTTGTGATAGACTATTATGATTACTTTTTCACCATTTATTGCTCTTTCCTTCCCACATGCACAAAGACATCCGCTCGAGTCATAAACATGCATTTCGGGTCAAATATTTACGTGATGTATTCAAAAGCTCAGCGTGTGCTTATGTTATTTAAATGATAATCCCAAGGAGATTACAATAAAGATGATAGCAGGTAAATATGTGTTGTCCTGTGGTTCCAGCCTTGAGGTGTGGAATATTGATAGGTCAGCCGCACGCTGATGCTTTTGATTGCTCCTGCAGCACATGCCATGTTTATATTCATGTCTTCACATTCACAGCTGCAGCGCTGTGTGACAATCTTGGCCTTGAGAAATGCTTCTGCTCATTTGATATTCATCCCAGGGAGATTAGAAATATGTTTGCAATTGTCATATCCCCAGTGTTAGATATCTTTCATCTCAACCCAGTGCAAAGCTGTGGCCGGATTCAATTTGCCTTCAATTCATTTCCAATCAGAGAGTACATTTTCTGAAAGTACTAACATTGCTAATCTTTTTTGCACGAGTGTATACCACCAACATATCCCTAACCCTGATGCACTGAATTGATTTGATCTAAGTTGTGAAATTGACACTCCTGTGGTGTGTTGATGTCAGATCTCCGAATGCTACAGTGAAGGGATGTTTCGGGCGTTCTCCCAGCACGTCCTGCATCGACTGAACATCCCTCAAGCCGGGCCAAAGGTAGGATGAACGTCATTTAGGAAAACCAAAGCAACACATGTTAACTATATTCTGATCTACTTCGTGTACATAGGAAGGACAGTTTAACCTTTATATCAAGTTAATTCACGAACTAAATATGTTTGTGAATCTTACATTTTAGCTATTGAGTGATCTTTAGGCTGTTGAGTCTCTCAGTCGGCCTTGGTGAAACCATTTCCTCTTTTGGAACGCAGTTTTTCTGTTATTCCTGTGTTTTTCTTGGTAATCCAAGTTATGGTCGACAGACAGTTACTGAAACAAGCCAGAAACTATTATTAGTACAGTTTTTACATAAAGTGAGTGTTCCCTGACCGGGAATCGAACCCGGGCCGCGGCGGTGAGAGCGCCGAATCCTAACCACTAGACCACCAGGGAGCTTACAGCACCTCTGGGATCCTAAGAACCAGACCAACATGTTGAGACCTGTGTTCATTAGTTTAAAATGGTTTATTAGCTTATAATCTTTACGATGTTAAGTAACTAAACTGTCAGATACATGTAGTGGAGTAAGAAATACAATATAGACTTCTAAAATGCAGTGGAATAGAAGTATACAATAGCATAAAAAAAGCATCAAGTTCTTCAAAATGCCACTTAAATACAGTACATGTAGTAAATGTACTTTTTTAAACTCCACCACTGATTGCAACACGTTAGATGAGTCTTTTGTTTGAACTTATATGTTTTAAAAGTTATCCACATAAGCCATGCTTATTTTTCTGTGTTATAAGTGAAATAAAATACACATCAGACAATAAGCTGCTTCCTCTGACACATTGCTAAGAACAGTTCCAGACGCTGAGAAAGATAACACAGCATTATTAATGCAAATATACTAAAACGTATTCACTTGATCGGCACCGCCTGCTTGTAGAGCGGTTTAGAGGATTTGGTTTCCTTTATGCATGTACCAAAATAGCCTGAGGGAGAGGAGCAACTGGCAAGGCTGTGAGTTTTGTGCTGTGATGGATAACTTTCCTCAAGTCCCTTTGAAAAGTTCAAATCACTTCTCTCATTGTCTGAGCCAACATTATACATTCCCTCTGGATGATTAGCTCAGACCTGAAATATGAAAGATATTCTCCAGGATTCACTCTCCTATCGATTAATTAGACCTAGTAAGTTACACTTAAAGTGACAAATCACTCCCTGGTGGTCTAGTGGTTAGGATTCGGCGCTCTCACCGCCGCGGCCCGGGTTCGATTCCCGGTCAGGGAACACTTTAGTTACTCTCCATTCAGCAAGTAAACAAAATACTTAACGAAGGCATGGCCATGTACAAAACCTCAGACTGCATACAAACAAAAACATACAATGTTCCATTGGTATTAAGAGTTGAAGGACAAACAAACCTGACATGTATGCCCTACTTCCATGCAGTTTGGAGGATTTTCCATCTTAACAACCTGAAGGTTACATTGTAGTTTTATTTTTTACTTAGACAGAAATATTCACTACACTCAGCGTAGTTGCGGCATAGACATTTGCCATTCAAAACGAGAGATGGGCAAGTCCTGATTCATCCGGATCATTAACCCGGATCCTAGAAATGAGCTGGTCGTGACGAGTCTCCCCTCTCCATTAACCCGAGTCCTTTGAGTCCTACACCTGGTGTGACGTACAAATTAAAACTATCAATTGCGTCACTCGCTACTCTCTTTATAACATGTAAAATAACATTACAACGTACCCCAGTCCATCTGCCTACCCTTTAGCAAGTAGGATAGCTTCCAGAAGTTATCGTTTGGCTCAGGGGAGGGGACGCGGATCAGTGAAACTTCCTGCAGACTCGTGGGGACTCAGAGCCGCGGTATTATGCACGAGTGAACAGCAGACTCAGAGATTCGCAAATCCTGACTCACTGTGCAAAACATAGCAGACTCGTGCGGACTCAGAGCCGTAACCGTATAGCAGCAGATCCAGAGATCCAGCAGACTCGTCCTCATGCACGAGTCAACAGCAGACTCAGATTCGCCAAATTGCAAAATAGCCCCTTTTTTTTGTGATCAACATTTTTTATTAAAGCAAAAGGCACTGTGTCGCGGAGGTTAATATAACATCAGTTTAATATGCTCGTGAAATGCAACAACTTTTCGGTATCACCGGTAGGCTTTCTACGGTCTTGGTGATGCTGACTCATATGACTCAAATGACTCGTATGATCCGGATCTCTTCAATGACTGACTCATAAGACTCCGAGTCCATAAAAGGATCCAGATTTGCCATCTCTATTCAAAACCACTAGACCACTAGCTTTAACAGACAAATCATTACAACATGGTAAGGCTTCAATCTCTATGCCACAACTGAGTTTCAGAGTATTTTTGAAGAAGAAAGTACTGTATTTTTTGAAGTCTCCATTTGGATGTGTAGTTTTTAGTTTGGAAACTACTTCTTCTACTGATCTCCTTGCTATTCAAGCAAAGAACAGGCTGTTGCAGCACATTTGATTTAAGAGCAACCCCTTAAACCAGACTTCACTCCAGGTGAATTCCCCACTGTGTCGCCTTCTACTCTCTGAACGAGTACTGTACATGCACACACACTCACCTACAACCCCACCCACCTTCTTACTCATCGCACATTAATATCTCCTCAGCGCTCCTCACAGGTGTTTTACGACCCCAGTCTGGAAGGAATTGACTGTATCTTTATGAGCAGCAAGGCCCCATAACTTCCTGAGGAGCGGCTCATCAGGTATTCATGGCGATCACTGGAAATATGCTAAGAGGCCTTTTCAGCCAGACATGGGGCTGCTGCCGATAGCGCGCCCGCGCCTGAATGAGAGGTCTCCTCGGCCCTGACCCTCTCCTCAGCTCTCCCTTTCATCCCTAGATTAATGGCAGCACCAAGGACTCACACCGCTGCTCCCCTCCATTGTGTGCTAGTCATCCGCCTCCTCCACCCATCTCTTCCCATATCCACCTCGTCATTATTTGCTCTGGCCTTGCTCAGAGTGCCTTCTTTTTTAGTATTTCTGAAAATATGTTTTAAGTAGAAAAGAGGAAACAAGGTTTGTTTGTATTGCATATACAATATCTACTGTTTAAAGCAAGGTGCTGTACTTTGGTTTATTGTGTACAACAGCTTGAACAGGTTGTATGTGGCTATTTGTCATTTATATAAGGATAAGGAAGTTATGATTTGTTTATTCAAATAAATAACGTGTTCTCTAAATTCTCTGTCAGAACACCAGGTGGCAGTAGAAGCATTTAGAAAACTAACATACTGTGAAAACTAGAAAGATCTCACACAAAAAAACGAATGAATTCTCCTTAAAACAAATAATGTGATTTTTTGTGTGCCATCTCCTGAGCCGTATTAAAGTGAGATTCTACGTAAAGGCTTTCTTACTTATTATGAATGGGCATCATGTTTTCCCAGCCGCCTATCCTTTCTGTCCTTGACTGATTGATTATTGGGCGCATTGCTGTTTTCAGGAGGGCCGTGTTCGTGTCACCCTGCTGGCACGCAGCACAGAATACAGAAGGATATTAAACCAAGTGGAGGTGAGTGCCCCCCCCCCCCCCGCATCCCTTTTCCTGCCTCTTAACTTTTCTCACACTTTTCCCCCCGTCGTATTCTGCCACTTCTTCTTTATTCTCCCCTTCCCCTGTCTTTCACTCTCCCTCTGTTTGTCTCTTTCTATTTCTCCACTCTGTACATCTCTCTCCCGCCCACAGCCCCTCCTCTCCGCCATTGATTTACTGCCCACATCTGTTAAGTGCCTATTTAAAATCTTATTTGCTATAAATAGTACAAGTAAAAAAGGCTTGTGATTTATACCCTTGCTGCCCGTGTTTGTTTGCACTTTCATTGATCAGAAACACACGTCGCTCTGTTGTCGTTACAGCTGGTAAACGCCCTCAAGACTGTGCCTTTACTGGAGGTCAACGTGGTGGACTACAAATTCAAGTGAGTTATAGAGTGCTGGCCACATTACCACCGGAGCTATTCAGTGCTGGTCAGGGATGTGAAAGGGCTGTAGAGGAATACACAAAGTGTTTTAAATTGTGTAATAGTGATGATTGACGTGTGGTTTCCTGTCTGTCTCTCAGGGACGTTCCCTTTCTGGTGCAGCTGAGGATCACACACAACTCTGACATCTTTATAGGGATGCACGGGGCGGGTCTCACACACCTCCTCTTCCTCCCTGACTGGGCTGTCATCTTTGAGCTGTGAGTGACAGGTGTTGTCTGCCAGTGTGTGTGTGTGTGTGTGTGTGTGTGTGTGTGTGTGTGTGTGTGTGTGTGTGTGTGTGTGTGTGTGTGTGTGTGTGTGTGTGTGTGTGTGTGTGTGTGTGTGTGTGTGTGAAAGACTGAGGGGAGAGAGCGATGGAAGTGTGAGGCGCCCAAAATACCCCTCAGACACTTGTGTGTACAACTGAGAAATACTGTGTAATTAACCAGGCATTCATCACACCAGCTACCTTGGGTAAATGTGTGTGTGTGTTGAGTGACACAGTGATAGAACATCACTGTGCATATGGCGCGAGAGAGAGAGAGCGAGAGTGAGGCAGGCAGAGGAGAGCGAGAGATAAAGTGTGTGCATCTGTCCCTCCCAGATATAATTGTCAGGATGAGAGCTGCTATCGAGATTTGGCTCGGCTGCGGGGCATTCGATACGTGACTTGGCAGAAGATGGACAAAGTGCTCCCCCAGGACAAGGTAGGGGAAACTCCCGCACCAGCCGCTATCTCCCCGGCTCACCTCTTCTCCATTCATCTCACCTTTTTCACTTATAGACACACACTTACACTCTCTACACACATCTAATGTTGTACTATTATAAGCACAGCAGGGCAGACTTCATTTCTCATTCATGTCGTAAAGTTGTCTAAATGCAAGGACACCATGACAATAAAAGCATGTGTCAATGGGGGTGTGAATCTTTCTGTACGTCGCCATTCAATTTCAAATCCGTCCACGGTTCAGTGACTAGGGGAGCTCATTTCCGGATCTACTTCAGCCTACACTAATTATGGCATACAAGCAGAGTCAATTTAGATTTTGAAGATGTTTGAGTTTTTTACATTTGAAAAAGTTATTTAAACAGATTCCACAAAGTGAAACATTTTCTCATGCAGAACTTGCACAGAAAAAACACTTTTTACAAGAAAAGTGTTTTTCAATTCTCAGTGGTGAAAATGCTGCAGGTTATGAAACAAAAGAGTTTACTTACTACTTTAGCTTGAGATAACAGTGACATTGCTGTGGGATTACTGCTCATCCGTAGCAATATATCTAGGTTCTTTTGTAAAATTATAATTTTTTGATTTCTACATCTCAATGTTTTTGTTTAGCTTTCATATTGTCTATCTAATGCTTAAACTTCTCTCTTTCACTTCCCTCAGGGTCACCATCCGACCATCGGGGACCATCCGAAGTTCACCAACTACTCCTTCGACGTGGGGGAGTTCATGCACCTCGTGCTGGAAGCGGCTGATTACGTCACTCACCATCCCAAATGGAGGCGTCGCTCCCTTCACGATGAACTCTAGAGTCTCTGTGAGTTTGGGACACAGACACCTGAAGAACCTTTAAAGATCCCATGTCATGGCCATTTCCACTGATCATAATTCCATTGTTGAGGTCTACTAGAATAGATTTATATTGTGCAATTTTCCAAACTCGCTTTGGTTTCTCAAACAGCATCTCTGTATACTACGTGTATTCACTGAATTTCACTCTCTGCCTTTAACAGCTCGTTGTAGCTCCAATAGCTCCAGCCTTCACCCTCCCTGTGAGCACAGTGTGCTCTGATTGGTCGGGACGTTGTGAATCGCGCTGAGCTCCGTGGAGGTGTGCTTTCCTTGTTTAGCGACACACAGCGAAACACAGCCAAACTCACCCTGAGCACACACAAAGTCACAGCCGAAGTAAAAACAATAAGTGTGGCTTGATATTGAGTAAGAAAAAGGTTGATAAACGCTGTGAGAATGGGTCTGCAGAGAGAATTTTGCCGCGATCCCAACTGTCTGTTATCAGCCTGCAGCCAGGAAGGAGAGATCAGCAGAGCTGCCTGCACTGAGTGTGTGTGTGAGGAAGTCCGTGGATTGGTCAATTTGGACCAATCAGCGGGGGCTTAACGTAACGGCTCCGCGGACGTAACGTAACGGCTCCACGGATTGGTCCATTTGGTTCCGGGTAACGCATGACATCATGAGTTACCTGGAAGAATCAATGGACAGTGACGTATCTCCAACGAGGCGTTTTAGGGAGGTATTTTCTGTGTTAGAGTTTTAATCGCTACAGGGTGTACTTTGAGGGTTTTGACTCTGCAGACCGTTTACATGCATAAAAACCTTCATAACACACAAGGGGACGGGTAATAACCGGAAAAGCGTGACATGGGACCTTTAAAAGAAATCACACGTCAGCAATCCTTCTGAAATCTCACATGCATGCACTTGTGAAGATTGATAGCACACTGAATATGTCAGATCAGTAACACC